CATTATGTAGGTGGGAAGCTAGTATGTACGCAGGTGGGAAGCACATGTAAGTAGGAGCAAGGTGTAGGTGGAAGCATTACAGGTGGGATATATTATGTAGGTGGGGAGTATTATGCAGGGTGGGAAGTGTTATGTAGGTGGGAAGTGTTATGCAGGTGGGAAGTGTTTATGTAGGTGGAAGGCTATGTAGGTGGGGAGGGTATATAGGTGGATGTGTGTTATGTATGTGGGAAGCTAAAGTTATGGCAGGTGGAAGCTACAGGTAGGTGAGCATTAGGTAGGTGGGGATGTTATGCAGGTGGAAGTGCAATGCAGGTGGGAAGCATGTAGGTGGAAGCAAGCATGTAGGTGGAAGGTATATAGGTGGGATGTGTTATGTAGGTGGGAAGTATTATGTAGGTGGGAAGTAGTATGTACGTAGGTGGGAAGTATTATGTAAGTAGGGAGTGTTATGTAGGTGGGAAGTATTATGTAGGTGGAGAGTATTATGTAGGTGGGGAGTATTATGTAGGTGGGAAGTGTTATGTAGGTGGGAAGTGTTATGTAGGTGGGAAGTGTTATGTAGGTGGGAAGTGTTATGTAGGTGGGGAGTGGTATATAGGTGGGATGTGTTATGTATGTGGGAAGTGTTATGTAGGTGGGAAGTGTTATGTAGGTGGGAAGTGTTATGTAGGTGGGGAGTGGTATATAGGTGGGATGTGTTATGTAGGTGGGGAGTGGTATATAGGTGGGATGTGTTATGTAGGTGGGAAGTGTTATGTAGGTGGGAAGTAGTATGTACGTAGGTGGGAAGTATTATGTAAGTAGGGAGTGTTATGTAGGTGGGAAGTATTATGTAGGTGGAGAGTATTATGTAGGAGGGAAGTGTTATGTAGGTGGGCAATGTTATGTAAGTGGGAAATATTATATAGGTGGGGAGTGTTATGTAGGTGGGAAGTCGTATGTAGATGGGAAGTGTGATGTAGGTATGAAGTGTTATGTAGGTGGGAAGTGTTATGTAGGTGGGGAGTGTTATGGGTGGGGAGTGTTGGAGGTGGGGGAGTGTTATGAAGGTGTGTGGGAGGGGATTATGTGGGTGGGGGAGTGTTATGTGGGTGGGGAAGGTTAGGGAGGACTGGAGGTGTTATGTGGTGGGGAGTGTTAGGGAGGAGGAGTGTTATGTAGGTAGAGTGTTATGAAGGTGGTGAGTGTTATGTAGGTGGGGGTATTATGAAAGGTGGGAGTGTTATGTGGGTGGGGAGATGTAGGTGGGGGTGTGGTGTGTATATTGAAGGTGGGGTGTTATGTAGGTGGGGAGTAGGTGTGTTAGAAGGTGGGGAGTGTGTTAGGGAGGAGGGAAGTATTATGGGGTGGGGGAGTGTTATGTGGTGGGGAGGTTATGTGTTATAGGTATGTGGGTGAGTGTTATGTTGGGGAGTGTTATGAAGTAGGTGGGGAGTGTTATGAATGTGGGTGGGGTGGGGTGTGTTGGGGAGGGAGGTAGGTGGGGAGTATTATGAAGGTGGGGAGTGTTGGGGAGGAATGTGGGTGGAGTGGTATGTGGGTGGGGTGTTATGTGGTGTGGGGGTGGGAGTTATGAAGGTGGGGAGTGTTAGGTGTTATGTAGGTGGGGGTGTTATGTAGGTGGGGTGTTATGTTGGTGGGGGAGTGTTATGAAGGTGGGGGAGTGTTATGTGGGTGGGGGTGTTATGTTGGTGGGGAGTATTATGAAGGTGGGGAGTGTTAGGGGAGGAGGAAGTATTATGTAGGTGGGGAGTGTTATGTAGGTGGGGTGTTATGCTGGTGGGGAGTGTTAGAAGGTGGGGAGGTTTATGTAGTGATTATGAAGGTGGGGAGTGTTATGTAGGTGGGGTGTTGTGTTGGTGGGGAGTGTGTAAAGGTGGGGGTGTTATGTGTGGGTGGGGAGTTATAGGTGTTGTGGGTGGGTGTGTGGGTGGGGGTGGTTATGTTGGTGGGGAGTTATGAAGGTGGGGAGTGTTATGTTGGTGGGGAGGTTATGTGGGGTGTTATGTGGGTGGGGTGTTATGTAGGTGGGGGTGTTATGTTGGTGGGGAGTTGGAAGGTGGGGAGTGTTATAGTGGTGGGAGTGTTATGAAGGTGGGGAGTGTGTTATGTATGTGGGGAGTGTTGAAGGTGGGGAGGTTATGTGGTGGGGTGTTAGGGGAGGAAGCATTAGGGTGGGAGGTTATGTAGGTGGGGAGTGTTATGTAGGTGGGGAGTGTTATGTGGTGGGGGAGTGTTATGTGAGGTGGGGAGTGTTGTAGGTGGGGAGTGTTATGTAGGTGGGAGTGTTATGTAGGTGGGGGTGTGTGGGTGGGGGAAAGGTGGGGGTGTGAAGGTGGGAGTGTTATGAAGGTGGGGAGTGTTATGAAGGGGGGAGATGAGGTGGGTTATGTGGGTGGGTGTTATGTAGGTGGGGTATTATGAAGTTGGGAAGGTGGGGAGGTTATGTAGGTGGTGAGTGTTATGTAGGTGGGGAGTGTTATGTAGGTGGGAGGTTATGAAGGTGGGGAGGTTGGGTGGAGTCTTATGAAGGTGGGGAGTCTTATGTGGGTGGGGAGTGTAGGTGGGGAGTGTTATGTAGGTGGGGGTGTTATGTGGCTTGTTATGTAGGTGGGGCGTGTTAGGAGGAAGGAAGCATTATGTAGGTGGTGTTTTATGGTGAGTGTTATGTAGGTGGGGAGTGTTATATAGGTGGGGGTGTTATGTAGGTGGGGAGTGTTATGATGGTGGGGAGTGTTATGATGGTGGGGAGGTTATGATGGGGTGTTATGTAGCTGGGAGTGTTATGTAGGTGGAGAGTGTTATACAGGTGGGGAGTGTTATGATGGTGGGAGTGTTATGATGGTGGGGAGTGTTATGAAGGTGAGGTGGGGTGTTATGTGGTGGGGAGTGTTATATAGGTGGGGAGTGTTATTGAAGGTGGGGAGTGTTATATAGGTGGGGAGTGTTATGTAGGTGGGGAGTGTTATGTAGGTGGAGAGTGTTATGTAGGTGGGGCGTGTTAGGGAGGAAGGAAGTATTATGTAGTTGGGGAGTATTATATAGGTGGGGAGTGTTATGTAGGTGGGGAGTGTTAGGGAGGAGGGAAGTATTATGTAGGTGGGGAGTGTTATGTAGGTAGGGAGTGTTATGTAGGTGAGGAGTGTTATGTAGTTGGGAAATGTACTGTTGGTGGGGAGTGCTATATAGGTGGTGAGTGTTATGTTGGTGGGAAGTGTTTGGGAGGTAGGGATTGTTAAGGAATGGGAGAATGTTAGGGTGTTGGGGTGTGGAAAGAGGGTGTGGAGAGAAAAATAGGGTGGGAAGGAGTGTCTTGAAGGATGTGGGAGTGAGGGTGGGGAAACTGGTGAGGAGTTGAAGGGAAATGGTGGGGAAGTGTGTAAGGGAAGTGGGGAGATGAGTAGAATAACGAAGGATGTGGGGAAGATAGTGAGCAACGTGGTAGGAAGCAGTGGAATTAGGTGATATGGAGGGAAAGAGTGAAAGGAAGGAGGGGGAGAGGAGTGGTAGGGAGTGCGGCGGTCAGGGAAGCGAAGGTAGGTCACACACGACGCGACAAAAGCAGAAAAAAGAGAGAGAAAGGAGTGACGTCATCATGTACCGCTGAGAAACAGGATGGAAAGCGGATTACTGTGGTGGTGCGGTGGAGTGGAGGGTGAGGAAATGTGGTAGACGTATGGTGGGGGGTCAGGAGTGGTGGTAAATGTGTGGTTGGAGGTCAGGAGTAGATTGGTAGTTGTGTGGTAGAATTCAGGAATAGATTGGCAGTGGTGTGGTGGAGATCAGGAGTACAGTGAAAGTACAGTAGTTTGGTAGATATCAGGAGTAGGAAGGTAGTGGTGTTTCAGAAATCAGGAGTAGAGTGCTTTGATTGTGGTAGAAATCAGCAGCAAGTGGGTAGTGGTGTGGTACGGATCAGAAGTAGAGTGGTAGTGGTAGAATGCTGCAACAGGTGTCTCGTGGCGTCCCATAATGAAAACAATGTAATGATGGTAATCAGTTTATGTAGACGGAACGTGGACGGCCAGACACAACAACACTGGTTGTCCCGCTGGGTTAGTCAACCTAACTTGACCTGCCTGCTGCTGTGTAACAGTTTCAGGGGTGTTACTAGTTAGATGGTGGGCATGGTGGCTAGGCGGTGGAGGCTTGGTGGTTAAGAGGTGGGGGATGGTGGCTGGGTGGTGAGGGATGGTAACTAGATAGTGGGGGACGGTAACTAGGTGGTGGGGTATGATGGCTAGGTGGTGGAGGAAAGTGGCTCGGTAGTGGGGGATGGTGACTAGGTGGTGGGGGATGGCGACTAGGTGGTGGGGGATGGTAACTAGGTGGTAGGGGCTGATGCCTATGTGGTGGGGATGTTGGCTTGTGGGTGATGGATGGTGGCTTGGTGGGGAGGGATGGTGGCTAGGTGGTGAGGAACGGTAACTAGGTAGTGGGGGATGGTGGTTAGGTGATAGGGAACGATAACTAGGTGGTAGGGGGTGATGGCTATGTGGTGGGGATGTTGGCTTGTGGGTATGGGATGGTGGCTAGGTGGTGAGGGATGGTGACTAGGTGGTGAGGGATAGTGGCTAGGTGGTGGGGGATGTTTGTTAGGTGGTGGGGATGGTGGCTAGGTGGTGAGGATGGTGGCTAGGTGATGGGGAACGGTAACTAGGTGGTGGGGGGTGGTGGTTAGGTGGTGGGGATGGTTAGGTTGGTTGGGGACGGTAGCTAGGGATGGGGGATAAATAGTCGAGAGCCGAAGGTAAGGGTCAAGGTAGAGAGCCAAGGTTAAGTGGAAGCTGTTATTCTGGGTAAGTTGAGTGGTGTGAAAAAGGGGGGGGGGGCTCTGGTGGTGGCGGGGGGCCGTCTGAGGTCTCCCTTAGGTGGTAGGGGACGGGATCTTACAGCTGATAAAGGGCAGATCAGAGGAGGAGCTCCAGCAGATGGTTGGGGAGGGGGGAGGGGCATGAAAGGCGCTGGGGGCAGGGTCAGGTGGCGGGAGGCGGGGTGGAGTGGTCCAGTATATCCGGCAGGATGGGACGCGGCGCTCGGCACTTTACGTGTGGACCAGCGTCGCGCTAGAAGGGTAAGCTACTGCTCTTTGCTCTCTGCATCTCTCGCTGTGTCGCCGTAACTTCATCATACTGTGTCAATATCGCCAACCATCATAGTGTGACCTTAACATGCTGTGTCTGTAGCGCCAACCCTTATGGTGTGACCTTAACACACTGTGTCCTTATCGCCAACCCTCATGCTATGACTTTAAACACAGCACAGTGTAGTGTGTCCTGTATTAAATGTTTTGTATTTTCAATAAGTGAAATTATCTTTTCAATGTCTCTTTGTATCGCCACAGTGTCTGTATCAGAAAGTCCTTCACCACACAACCCTACAACAACTGATGTGTTCTTCTGTGAGGCTTAAACTATACCAAGACAATCGTGTCGTGTAGGGTGATCCGACAGTACTGAGGCACTTCGTATGTGTCCGTGTGTTCCATATTGTTACCTGCACACCATTGTCTAACCTTTAGGCACAATAATGAAAACCTTACTGTGAACATGGCAGTCTCTATTTATCTAGCTAAGTATTCGTTTATTTATGTAATTAATGTACAATATCTCTAGCTGATTTCATAAGATTTCTTTTATCTACTAACTTCGGGTTATTCTTCCTAAACATATACAATATGTTTATGTCCAGCACAGAGGTATAAGACATTACTTGTGTTAGTCAACCGTCCGTCCTTCCGTAACGCATACATTATAACACTGTAGAAATTCCCCAACAACAATAGATGGATTTGTGCGGAAGGTCAAACTCACAGTGGACTGCAGGAATAGTGTCGGTGTGCAATATGTATTTTGTTTTGATCTTGACCTTAGTTTGCCACCTCACCAAGGTCACGTGCCATGTCGTACACAAGACGTATTAGTTCTAAATTTCTGACTCCGTATATGTAGTCAGTCTTGAGTTTTGCTGCGTTTAGTTAACCCAATTCCCACTTTTCATGACCTTGGTGATATTCTTTTGCGTGAGCAAAACTTTCGAGTGTAGGTTAACGCAGCCAATGATAATTTTTTCGTCACCCTTATTTACTAGTTTATGTCTTATGAACAGTACTTAAGGCTTCAGCTGTTAGAGCACGTATAGTGTATATCATAAAGAGCTCGGAGTACCGGAAGAATTTAAGAACACAGTGACAGAAAATTATATAATATATATACAGTAAACTCTTATTTACAAAAGATGTTTTTTGTGTAGTGTATAAACTAAGACTTAGCGAGCGATGTTTAAACACCCTGGCAGTTGAAATACCAAAATTTCAAAACGCCAAATGACCTCAGATTACCGGTGACATTAATGAATACTATCACATTAGACAAACAACAATATCAACAGAAGGTTGGTGTATCACAAGCTAACACCGTCTTTTACACGTACAATACAGTTTTCACACGACTCTTCATCTCATCATAAAATATTACACATCTAATTTACTGTCTCATCTCACTAATGAACACAATTTCCCAGCTCATTCAGTCAGTGTCTACCTAAGTCATAAATTGCTAATCAAGGATGTTAGTTCATGATCGATAAATCTGCACAACGCGAAAAATATGTCGTCAGGCGACAGGTCGAATAATGAAAGAATTTTTATGACAAGACGATCATCGAATATCACTGTCAACACTTGTAAGTCAAGGTAACGCTTGTGATTATATATAAAATACTATTCACATTCACATGGTCAGCGATCAACTCTAAGTAACAATCAAACAGAAATCATGAGTAAATAAAATAAACTCGCAACAAGGCTGTGTTCGAGAGCTTCAGTGATCAACGGATACATAAAGTAAAATAAAAAGTGACATGTAAAATTGTAAAAGTGACACAGCTGGAGGATAAACAACCCGTCTTTTCAAGGACGCGAGTTAAGATGACACGCGGCAACAGCAAACAGCCGCCTGACTGTGATTGGCCGGAGGGCTTGATGTGATGTTCCTCAAAAAACATAAGGTATCCTAATAATAAACACGTCACAAGAATATTGAAAGGAAGACGAACCACCCTAACTATCTTAGTCTGGATAAAGTATGTTTGGGTAATTTATATAAGCAACAAATCTGATAACACAAACAAGGTGGAACAGTAGACTCGGGGAAAAATAAAGTGAAATGAAGGAAAAACAACACGGACAGTAGAAAAAGGAGAATGAAGAGATATTAAGAATATACTGTAAATATGAGTCTCATAACGTAGTGAGATAGAGGAAGACCTCAAGTGGTCCTGGTTGAGTCAAGACAACGAGAGTGAAGGTGTGTCTTGTTTTCGCGAATTATTATTGTGTTTAGGTTTTGTGGGATTACGAATAGCATATGTAATAATAATAATAATAATAATAATAATAATAATAATAATAATAATAATAATAATAATAATAATAATAATAATAATACAAAAAATAATAATAATAATAATAATTACAGGGTTTATTACAAAATTTCTGCAGCCCGAAGGCTGAAAATATACATTGGACAAAAATTACTTGTTACATACAAAGACATGGGGTGGGTGGGTCGTTTAACAAAAGCTTTCATTACTGAAAGAAGAAGGAACATGTATTGAACATACAAATTATTATAGTTTACAGTTGATAGCCCGGGCCTGGACTGGTCATGGGGACACCAGGAGGTGTGGTGTTCACGTGGTGTAGTAACTCGTCCTCGGGTGTTGATGTGAAGGACCTCACTTGGTCATGGGGACACTGGGTGGTGTGGGGTGGTGTTGTGTTATTTCGAAGTCAGGTGTGAAGTCGACCCACTGTTGTTCCCAGGGTGGACTGATTAGCACCTCCTTGTCAGAAGATGGCGGTCAGTTCCCAGGGGTGCTTATCTCACTGGTGGGTCACGGCTCTCACTGGTACTGTCTAGTGCTGAATTCACTGGCTTGAACATTAAGAACATAAGAACATAAGAATGGAGGAAACTGCAGCGGGCCTATTGGCCCATACTGGGCAGTCCCGTTTACACCCAACCCCTATTGCTCATATGAGCATCCAACCTATGTTTGAAGCAATTCAGCGTATTCGAGTTAATGATGATATTTGGTAACTTGTTCCATTCATCCACTACTCTGTTTCCAAACCAGTGTTTACCTATTTCACGCCTAAATCTAAATTTGTCTAATTTAAAACCATTGTTACGAGTTCGCTCCTGGTTGGATAATTTGAGTACCTTTGTAATGTCCCCTTTGTTTAGCCCTGCCTTCCACTTATACACCTCTATCAGGTCGCCCCTCGCTCTACGTCTCTCGAGGGAGTGCAAATTAAGATGCTTTGACCTGTCTCTATACTCAAGGTTCCTAATGCCCGGGATTAGTCTTGTCATTCTCCTCTGAATTCTTTCCAAGGATTCTATATCCATTCTGTAATACGGTGACCAGAACTGAACTGCGTAATCCAGGTGTGGTCTCACAAGAGCAAGATACAGTTTTAGGATGACCTCGGTAGTCTTGTAACTAACACTCCTTTGTATGAACCCAAGTACTTTATTAGCCTTGTTACGAGCAAAAACACATTGTTTACTTGGCTTAAGGTTCCTACTTATCATTACTTTTTCTCGCAGACGGATTTCTCAATAACATCATTGTTCATCTAGTATGTGGTTTCCCAGTTTACATCTCCTATACTGAATACTTTACATTTGTTCACATTGAATTTCATCTGCCATTTTTCAGACCATTCGAAAATTCGTTTAGATCTTCCTGTAGTTTTGCGGAGTAATCGTCAGATTTAGTCACACGCCATATTTTAGTGTCATCAGCAAATTTACTTATGTAGCTGTCTACGCCGATACTAATAATGGTCCAAGTACTGAGCCTTGGGGAACTCCACTTGTGACGTTGCTCCAATGGGACTTAGTGCCGTTAATGCTCACTCGCTGTTTCCTGTCCTGTAACCACGCCTAATCCATTTAAGGATGTCACCTTTGATGCCATGAGCTTCTACCTTTCTAATTAGTCTTTCGTGGGGGACTCTGTCGAAGGCTTTGCTAAAGTCAAGATATACCACATCATAATTGTGCCCCTCGTCCACCGATTCGAAAACTGATGAAAAGAATGTTAATAGATTAGTTAGGCAAGAACGTCCGCTTGTGAAGCCATGCTGGGAATCACTGATCAATCGGTGCTTCTCCAGGTGATTTCGAATAGGTTGATGATTGCTTCAATCATTGCTTGCCTACTATTTAAATGGTAGACTGATTGGGCGGTAGTTAGAGGATAGTGATCCTATCCCCTTCTTGAAATGGGTGGCGTGCATTATTATCCTCCAGGATTCTGGTACTACACCTGTTTTTAAGGACATGTTAAACAACTTTGCGAAGGGCATACTAAGCTCTTCCTTACATTCCTTTAATACTCTGGCAAATATCTCATCAGGACCAGGTGACTTATTAGGCTTTAGTTTGTCTATTTGCTTACTAACATCGTTACTAGTCACTACTATCTCACTTAATTTGTTTTCTTCTTTATCTCTGAATAGAGTCGGTGCCTCGGGTATCATGTTTAGATTTTCGGTGGTGAAAACTGTTGAAAAATATTTATTCAAATTATTGCTCATTTCTCCGTCGTTATCAGTGAGCTATGAATCGACCGTATTGGTCCAATCTTTTCTCGTGTTTTAGTTTGATACATTTGGTAGAATCCTTTGGGGTTTGTCTTCGCCTCCCTTGCTATCCTTCCCTCATTATTCCTCTTTGCTTTCCTTATCTCGGTTTTAACACTACTCGCCAATACCCTATAATAGTCCCGGAGGTGAATTTCGCCACGATTTATCCTTCTACCTATAGCCTTCCTTTGGCCAATGATGTTCTTTAATTAATTATTTATCCATTTAGGGTCATTGTTGTCTGATCTGAGTTTTTTGTATGGTATGTTCTGCCTTTGTGCATTAAGTAACTCACTATTTAAATTGTCGTGGAACTCGGCAATCTCAGATCTCGTTATCAGGTCGGTGTCATCTGTCAGGTTCACGGCCAAGCGCGACACCCCCTCTCTCAGCTGCCTCTTTAAACTGTCAAAGTT